GAATGCAATACCTAAAGTGTGCGATTAGAAAATGTTTAGCGGAGAGAGAAATGTTGTGAGCCACATATTCCTTTCCTAAAAGGAAATGAGAAAAGTGGGACGTTTATTTTGGGAAGTATCTTTAAGTTTTGAACTGGTCAAAACTGCAGTAATCTGCATTTTTTTTACTTAAAAAGAAAAAGAAAAAAGAACTCACCTCAGACTGACTTTGCATGGAAGCTAGTAAATCTTTAACAGAAGGATCATTAGGATCAACACCCGGAAGCTGTTAAGAAATATACACAATTTAAAATAACAAGCAACATTATGAATCCATTAATTATACCAGTAAAACACATGCTTTCATATTACTGGCTTTTGTATCATAAAGACTTACGGAAGCAAGGATAGACGATACAAAAGACTGGTCAGCCAGCAACTTGCTCATATCGGTTGGATTTGATTGATCGTTCACACTGTCTTGCACAGACAATTGAAGAGCTGCAGCACCACATGGGGGAAAAAATTGAACAAAAAGAAGAAAAACACTATGAAACTTGAAGCCCTTGTGATTATTAGAGGGCTCAGTCAGATGATTATACTTTGTCGGAAAAAAGGGTCAAATCAGTACATGTTCAAATACTTGTGTCCCAAAAAAGTCTTATTTCAACAAAATAAGCCTATAACACCAACTTTGACCCCATGGATGACAACCATCTGTAAATTTGTATACACGCCGGATATAATCATCTTTGAACTAACAAAGTTTATAGATGATTATATCCTATGTGTGTACATCTTCGCATGCGGTTTCCATCTGTGGTGTCAAATTTGGTTTTATTCTACTCCATAGCATTTTTGTTAAATTTAATGTATATTTCCCCAAAAATCCAAAAAACATAAATGTTCCAGATAACTTGCATGTGTTTAAGATTTTTTTAAAAAATGGAAAAATGTGTAGTATTGATAGTTAATACTCTGCAAGAGTTACTCATTTTATTGATGTCTTAAGTTATGTGCAAAATTATGATTATTAAATACTATGCCAGGATAAGTGGATGGAACTATTACAAGTAGAATTTGCAATCTCATCTACATAACCGAGTAAAAGTATGTTTAGCATCTTCAGAGTTTTATTTCTCTAAGCAACATAAAACATATCCTCTGCATTAATCAATGCACAAACTTACCAAGGGCCAAATCATGATCCTCGGATGCTGCTTCTGGCATGTCAGTATCTCGTGTGGCAATGTTAGAGGACGAATCATCCATAGACATTGCTAGTGCTTGCTGTAAGAGGGCATTCTCATCCTTCTGAAAGACATCAATGAAAATATGGGTGTTATTCTGTGGTTTTGAATAAATATTTGTATCTATTGTACTTTCAACAAGCAAAGGATCTCCCAACATCAGAAGGCACCAACCTCGCCTTCGGATCCAGAAATTCCGACAGCAACGTTCTCACACATGGCCACATCTTGAGAGGCAATCTGTGTCTCTCCTTTTTCCTGATTTCCAGCTTCTTCTGCAGCTCTTTTTGCTGCTGCTTCTTGCCTAGCTCTTTCTTCCTCCATTGAAATTCGAAGTGCTAGTGCAAGTTCAGGATCAAGGTTAGGGTCCACTCCAAAATCAAAACCAGATACACCCCCACCAGCAGATGCTGCTGCTGCTGCGGCGGCAAATCCACTGCCACCCTCCCCATCACTTGTGAAGATAGGAGAGCTGAAAAAGTATACATATACACAAAATAAATGTGGTGATATGAAATTAATTAAACAATAAAAGAGCCAGTTTGTGGGCTCTGTTTTGGCTTATCAACAAGTTTTTTCACCAACCACTGACTAATTTCATAGCGCAAGATGAAGCGGCTTAGGATTATTTAAAACACTAGTGCATGAGTTATTCTTTAGGCTGAAATGACTGAAATTAAAGAGAAATAGCATTTCTACCTTCGCTCGGAATATTTGTTTCTTTACTTAATTTACAATATATATTTTAAAATAATTTTTCGGATGTCATCAAGCTCAACTGTTTCATGTCCAGCCACTCCAGCTATTTTAGGCCTTACCAAATAGATAAAAATCTGAGACAAAAATTGATTGATGTGTGAGTAGTAACCTTATAAGCACATCAGAAAGATTATTAGGACCAGCAGGAACATGTACAATGTGACAACTATCGTTGTTGTTTACTGCAGCGACTAGTGCCTCAAGCTTCTCAGTCTTCCCTTCATCTTCTTCGCCAAAATTGACAATATCCAGAGATACACTGTTCTTTTTCAACTTTTTACCAATCATCTCTAATACCTTCTTGTCATACTTAACAGGGCTGTAAAATAAAAATAAAATAATTTATTATTAGTACACACAAGAAAAGGTTAAAAGTGACCATCACTGCACATAAAAAATCACAGAGTAGCTGCTATTTACCCTGCAGCAAAAACAATAATCCTTTGTTGCTGCTTTTTGTTTTGGCGATGCTTGAGAGCTAGCTGAGCCACCTGAATCCCAGCGGCCAAATTCATATCACCACCTATTTGAACCCCTGAATAGATAAAATCAAAGTCATTGCACTACATAAAGCAATAAAAGAAAAGGTCAACAACATCGAGATAGCACACATAGAATATTCAGGGAAAAGAATCATACAAACGAAGAAACAAACTCTTGTCATAACTCATAATCATCACCTTTATCCCACTGTTTGGGGTAGGCGACATGAAATTTAGTGCCAATGACTTGTCGTAACTATAAAATTAGTTACAAAATAAATCTACTTTGAAAACATAGTGATGAAGTTGTGTGCAGGGTGCCCTATATGTTGTAACCTCCATACAAAAGGTATAACGATATTACATTTCAAACCCATCATTAAAATAGGTAAATTTTCCTTGCATTAAAAATTTCATCAAACCACAATGAGTTGATATAGTCATGCCTTGTCCAATTATTACATTGGCATCATAAAAATGATAAAATCAACATGTGCCATTTAGTAAAAGAAAGATATATATTGATAAACAGCTATTCATTCAAATATGCTTCAGATTCAACCTAGGCCCAAAGAAGACTTAAGTTGCCAATGTTCCAAATGTCACGAATTTATAACCTCACAATAAAGATTCATATGAAATAGAACATATACTCAGTATGTTGTTAAGTAAAGCCCACCGTGCGTGCAGGCTAGTATCTTTCCAAGATCACTTGTGGGAGTGGCCAAAACACGAACCCCTTTACCAGCCATTGTCAAAACTCCTACTGTATTCTCCGGATTAGACTGCAATACAATTGAAAATAGAACTCACAATACAACAAATCAAGCATCAAAATTATCCAAAAAATTCAGTTTCCATCAAAATTCAACTCGTTAAAGCAAGAAAACGGGATGACTTCGGGTAAAAAAAAACCTGGGTTTTGGCACCACAGATGAGATTTACAGCGTCAGCTTGAGCTTGAAATCTATCTGGAGAGTAATCTCCATTGCGCATCCACTCTGAATTATCAATGCAGATCATCGTGGCCTTAAAAAAGAAACATGTGTATTAGAAAGTGAGAGATTTATGAGATTCGGGAACCCTAATTTGGTGATAACACGAGAACGGTGAAACTGTTGCTCCACCTCGAGCACCATCGCTGGAGATTGAAGGCGAAGAAGAAGAGCTTCAAGGATCGAAAGTGATGGAGAATCAAACAGGAAACGATGGGTTTATCGCCGGAGAAAAAACAAGTTTGCACGATTAGAGCAGGACTTGGAAGCCTAAGAACTTTGTACTCCTGAAAAAAAATACCTCAATACATAGAATTCAAACTATGGAATTGGAATTGGGGATTTTAATTCCAATTCTGGTGTTTGGTAGCACAAAAATTATGTGGATTTGGAATTGATAGTGTAAAAAATGAATTAGAATTGACAAAATTCAATTCTATGGAATTGAACCTCATGGAATTTCAATTCCAATTCTATTAATTTCTTATACCAAACCGACCCTTAGAGTTATTTTATGTTACTTATTTTTACAATTCAATTTATAAAATAATATATTCTAGTTACATCTTATGTTGTAAAAAAATCATGTAAACTCTTACTGCATGAGTTTTTTTTTTAAAATTGTATACATACAATCAAATACTCCGTAAATTATAGTATTAAAAATAAAGTCGATCAAGTATTATTACACATAAAGAAAAAAATATTTGGGTCGGAGGGAGTAAAAAAATACTCGGTAAGTGGTAACACTCCATAATAAAGTTTAAATCGAGGTATATTTCATAACGTCTTCATGTGGTTCTAATCTGAATTTTTTAATGTTGATCTAGATTGATTTTATTAGTGTACTTTAATGTTGTTATTCATCTAATATGAAGAATATCTAATCTAATTCTAATAAAAATAAGTGGTAAGAGTAAGAAATAAATTGAAGAAAATATGATCGTATGACCTGCAACTCTTTTGAACGGAATATTTTACATATATCTGTCTTTGAAGGTGAACAAGACGGGTCAAAAAAATTTATTTATTATATTAATCATTGATGTTTTCTTTTTCAGTATCCCAAAAAAAATCATTACACTTGTTTGTTTTTCTAATAGAATAAAGAATATATAGTCCATAATTTTTTTCCTTTCTCTAAATTAAATTCCACAACTACTTTTTTTTACTACCTTTAAATGTTTTTTAACTTCTTAAATACTATGCCAATTAATTTGGACATAAAGAGTATAAAAATAGTAAGATCGAAATATATATCTCAAAAAGAAGATTAATACTATATCAAACTTAAAAATAGTAAGATCGAAATATATATTTCAAAAAGAAGATTAATACTATATCAAACTAATATAGCAAAATAAAAATCTCATACTTCTTTCGTCTCATTTTAAGTTATCTGTTATTGTTTACGATATTTGACTAAAATTATTTTTCAAATGCAGGGCTGAATTAAAAAAATAAAATTTCTATATTTAAAAACTACATCAAAAATTCTACTTCCTCCGTCTCAAATTAAATTGTATGTTTATTATTCACATAACCAAACTTCATTCACTTTCTTTCTATATTCTCGTTACTCATTTGATAAAATGAGTATAAAAATACATAAAGTAATTAAAATTTAACACTTTAACCACATAAACAGTAGGAAAATAATTTAAATTGAGACAAAAAGTGTATTTTTATCTCTGATAATGCCCCTCTCCTCCTCCCTCCCTTATGGGCCGGCCCAAGCGCTCATCTGTTCTTGTTCCAATGATCTTCTTCTCCAACTTGATTCCTCATCATCATTTGCAGAGGTTATTTCTTCTGTTAATGGAATCTGATCGCTATTAGCATTATGATCCTCTAATGACAATAATGGTCTAGTCCCGGAAGCCGCCTGAACCCTGCACCGCCATCGCTGGAGGGAGCTTTCGACGCTCTCAGAGATTATCGATTTCTTAAACTCTGAACCCATCTGCACACACACATATGCATCCATGTAATTACGAGCTAATATTTTGATTCTTTCTCACAATTCTACAGTTATAAACATGTAATTACGCACAAATAATAAGGGATATTTTTGAACATTCTTAATTAATGAGACAAAAAATGTACTCCGTAATTAATTATGTCAACAATTTACCTGAGCGATTATAACGTAGAGTGGGAATGTGATGAAGCTACACCAAATCTGAGAAGCCACCCTGCACAAATTTATTTACTGTTATCAAGAAAGCTCCCAAATTTATTATTCCGATTAATTAAAGTTTTTCACTAATTTTAGAAGGGAAGATATTTTTGAAATTTAAAATTAAAGAGGATTCAAAATATAGTAAATCTTTGTATAGTTATACGAATTATGATGACGAGTGACATTTACCCAAATGCCAAACGGGTCACAAGGAAGCCACCTTTTTGTGTAAAACATGATGCTCCTTTGATTTCCCACTGTCACACAAAAAAAAACATGTTTTAGTTGATTTGGTACTTTTCTGTTTTATTTATTTCCTTTATTTATATAAAAAAAAATTATCGCACCCTTTTCATTTTAACAATATTTCTTGAACTTCATGAAGTCAAACGACTCATACAGGATGTGTGTTACGAAAACATTACTTACCCGTGACCATAAGTATATTGCCATTTCAAATGCATTCTGCAAATCATCAACCAAATCACATCGGGATAGTTATTATATTTCAGAACGTAACCTTTCATTATTACCACGAATAGTTAAAATAGTGGATTGAGTAGATAATTTAAAATGAATGACCTGAAACGATATGAACTGGATTAAGAGGAGTAGAAATCTGGGCCTTCCAAACCAGAAGAGTTCATCCCTGAGGTTAAAATTATGAAACCCTTCATATGAAGTTTCTGCCCTAATTTCAACTGCGAGTTTCACCACTATGCAGTGCAGCTTTGTACCAACCAGGAGAAGCAACTGCATGCCACAAATCAAACAAACTTAGTGTAATTAATAAGAAAGAGTGTTCAATATGGTTTTTAGATAACTCGAGACGTCCCTGAAAATTTAACAAACGACGAAGTAAAGACACTCAAATCAAAGTGTATCCGTGTCGTGCATAGTAAAAAAAGTCATGCGAGTACAAAAAGTGTAAGCACATAAATCCGATATTTGTAGATCCTAATTGTGATATCTGAAACAATGCCTACGATCGCCTCTAGAGCAACAACCCACAGGTTCTTATGTAGTAGAAAACCACAAACCATGCGAACTGTGATATAGTGTTCTCATACTTGAGTTCAAGAGGTGTGACGCACATAAGCTGATACGGCTCGCTATTATGATTTCTTTTGAAACTTTTTTTAACAAACTTCAAGACATTCATCCCAACGAGACACGTGGGGATACCCAAAGACTCTTAATTGTTACTGCTCCCAAAGCCTTTCCTTTAGGTTGGTGTTCACGACAAACTAGTTTGCATGATTGGTGGTGTTACTTTTACATAAGAACCCATGATGTGTTGCACTAGAGGCGTTCGTGGGCATAGTTTCCAGCATCCAATAAGTATCTACAGAAATAGGACTAACGTGCTTATAGCCATTGATTTTTTCGTATTCACACTTGCATGGCTTATTTCACTACGCACGGCACACAAACGCTTTGATTTGGGTGTCTTGGGATGTTGGTTAATTTTTAGAGACATCTCGAGATCTGATGTATGTAAACACTACACCACGCTCTTAGTGTTTACATACATCAGAACTCGAGACGTCTCTAAAAATTAACCAACATCGAAGCCAAGACACCCAAATCAAAGCATTTGTGTGTCGTGCATAGTAAAATAAGCCATGGAAGTGCGAATACGAAAAAATCAATGGCTATAAGCACGTTAGTCCTATTTCTGTAGATACTTATTGGATGCTGGAAACTATGCCTACGTGTGCCTCTAATACAATAGCCAATGGGTTCTTATGTAGTAATAAATCTACCAACCATCTGTCGTGAACACCAAGCAAAGGGAAAAGCTCCTAAGATCAGTAACCAGTAACAATTAAGAAAGTAAAAATAAAGAGGGACATCTCCATCCGTCCAGCTGAGATGAAACTCTTGAAGCTTGTAAAAAAAAAGTATGCCAAAAAAAGCATAATAGCCAGCCTTGACAGCTTATGCATGTGTGTCACAGCTCTCTTGAGCTCTAGTATAAAACCATACTATTAATCGCCTCAATCAATCAAACCATATTTGGGCCACAAGGAAACATCATTGTTGTCATATTATATGACACCCAAAACCGGTATCAAAAGAATCATATATGGGGCTCAATATATACTCCATTTGTAAAAGAAAAAAAATCTATATACAAACCTTTATAACATGGAATTTTCCATACATTGTCCTCAATTCTAAGATATTATGTTCATAGAAAGGTATTCCATAATCAATCCTTTGTGGGCTATATGTGGAAGACATTATTTGGATCCACAGGATTGCTTATGGAATAGATATCAATTATAGAGGAGAACGAATAATGATTTTATAATATTTTTCTTGCCAAAAAATATATTTAAATTCATTTATATGCAATGTACTCCGTAATTTTTTATTTTATTGAAAATCAAAAGTCATCCAATTGGATGGAAACCGTTTGAATTAAACGCGATTAAATACTAGACATATAGATTATTAGACTCACTAGTATTCCTCTAAAGGAGATCTAATATTTAATTAATTGGAATTTTGGGCTATTGTGTAATATTTCAATGTATCATCTCTTATGAGGTTTCCCTTTTATGATAGAACACATTAGTTTAAATTAATAATGAAACAATTTGATGACCTTGATAACTAAGTCTCGCCAATAGGGATATGAATTTAAAGATAAGTATGCTCTAACGAGTGTCCATTTTACAAGAAATTGCGTCATCTTACAACGACCATACATAAAAATGCAAATCAACATAGAAAATTATATACAAAATAGTTCATACTTCATCCTATGAAGATGAAACTCATATATTCATGAGTATTATAAAAGATACAGTTCTGTTAACACTCGCCAACGGTGACACTAGCAATGCTGGTTCTAACCCCTAACCCACCCCAACCCCCAACCCCCAACCCACCTCAATCCCGCACTAAGCCCCTCCAAATAGGTGTGATTGCATCATAGCCACTTGGGACTTAGGTCTAGGGTGGGGTGGGAGGGTAGGAGTGGGGAGATTTAGGAATAGGAACTATCAATTTTCTGATTGGAACACCTGCTCTAAAAATGCAGCAACACTATTAGTGTCACCGTAGGCTAAGTGTGAACGGAACCCCATTCTATAAAGAATAACCGTAAAAAATTAATTAATGAGCCTTACAAGTGTAGGGACGAAGGAAATCCAAAAGTAGACATTTGTTCCTGCATACATGCAAGAACAAACAATTGGTGCTTTGAATCCTTTGATCACCAAACAATTAGTCGTTGATAATTAGGTCACTGTTAGAGAAGTTGGCTATGAAGCACCGGTGCGGCAAAAAACACAGGGCGCGAAGAACCGTGCGGGTTCTGGTGCGGCGGTGCGCCTTGGGGTAGCATATCGCCGAGAGAGAAGAAGAAACAGTGGACCCGCCGGTTCAGGCCCTCTCAAACGGAAATCCATAGAAGAGTCGCCGTCGCCGCTGGGACAGAGGAATCTAATAAAAGAAACGTGTAATGTGAGGAGGCGGCTGAGAATCAGCAGAAACGGAAGGCTGAAGTTAGGACTTAGGGACTAGGGTTTACTCATTTGGGCCTCTTTGGGCCAAATTTTGTTGTGGTGTGTTTTGTTTATTTGAAGTTAAGATAATTGTTTTCTTTTATGAATATTTCAAAGGCTAATAGCATGGGTATCCAGTGATTACAAATATAGAGTGTTTTGGCATCCCTTTTATAAACTATAGAGAACACTCATGCTATTACGTCGAACATAAATGCATGTATTTTACAAAATATATTAATATAAATAAAAAATATATAAAGAAATTCCCCGCACCCATTGCCGTACCCGCACCCTATTTTTTAAAAAAATTTCTGTACTCACGCAGCCGCACCTGTGCTTCATAGGAAGTTGGTAATGTAGACGGGAGGGGTAAAAATTACTTGTCATTTTTGGTAATTCAAAGGGTTAATGAAGATCATGACCATTGCCATTTCAACTTTTACTAATTTAGTTACTAATATTTGGTTAACACTTTTTTTTAGTTAAAACTTACTTTGCATTTATAACAAAAGGATAGAATTTTTTAAGGGAATTTTCGCTTCATAGCCTCAACAGGTGTCTATGTGTATCAATGACAAGGATTGTGTATACTAGCCGGCGAGATACATCTGGTGTACACCACCCAGGGTACACCAAGCTTTTTCCTTGTTATTTTGCTTGTGTGCAAAAGTTGATGCGCTATCACGTGGACTTTAGACCCATGGTAGAAGCACTCAAGAATTATATGTGGCGAATAGTCTTTCAATTTAAGAGGTAAAAAAACTATAGTGCAAATTAAAAAGACTTACCGTGAAAACTTAGAAGGACACACGAGATGGCAAAAATCCAAAGGTGAATGCTGCAAGAAAATACATTTAAAAAAATTCATTCGTATGATATGAATTCACGACAATATTTATAGAAAAGTATAAAAAAATAAAGTACATAACCATTCAGAGATTTAAATATTTTTGAACTGTATTGATATGTGTACCTGATGCCAACAATATGGCAAAATTCGGCTTCCATGCTTCGAAGCATATACTTATGGAAATCATACATTAGCGGGAGTTGATGTGTCTGAAGTATAGGGAAGCTATAAAATGTTACATGTATGCCACTAAATATTACCAAAAACTTTGTTTAAAAACAAGTAACACAGAAATTTATTTAAATAGTACTAAAACATAGTCAGTTTCTCAATGTAGTACCATATGTTTTTATTTGATAATGTAATATCACTGGTCATTGTTTACTAGACACTGTTCAAACTAAATGTCAGAAAAAAAGTTTAAGTAATACATTAAAAAATGAAAAATGTTTTAATACTATATATTTTGTACAAATTTCACTTTTTAATATTAAAAATGGTCACAATAATGTTCTGTCAGTTACGGAGTATTACAAACTGTTTCTTATTCTAACTTTGTTCTTTTGTTTAGAAATAAAGTTTATTGAACTGGTCTCTGATGCACGTAATTGAAATCAAATGAACAAAAAATTAGTTACTCCTTCCGTCTCATAAAATCCTTGACATTTTTCATTCATAGAGTATAGAAAGTAGTTGAAAAGTAAAATGTGTGATTAGAATTTATTTAGAGGAGAGAGAATAGTTGGTTACCAAAATAGGAAATAAAGTATAAGGTATTTTTGGGGACATCCAAAAAAAGAAGTGCAAAGCATTTTATGGGACGGAGAGAGTATATTTTTAACATAAAAGAGTAGGACAAAACTAACTAAAAAATCAAAATTAACTTGGGATGTAATTGAAGGAGGTGGGAGGGGTGTTCGGGTCGGGGCGGGTGGGGGGTCTACTGGAGAGTTAGCCGGTTACGGAGGTAGAAACCGTCAACTTTAATTTAGTACTTTACAAACGGGCACCGTAATGGCTCCGGGTCATCTCATGTGGAGGGATTCCAATCTCACGGCCGAAACTTAAATGTGTGGAATGGATGGGAATAGGGCAACTCACAGTGATGAAACCCAAGCGCAAAGCCATGTAGTCGGCTTGGTTTATACAACTCCAAAACTGGCGGCTGAAACAGAGCTGAGAAACATCAATTTCAAGTTTTACTAATTAGTGTGTATATATATATATATATATATATATATATATATATATATATATATATATATATATTCATTTTTTCTTGATTGCTCTTTGGTCTATACATAATTATATGTTTAGTAAACATACCAGCCAAACAAGAACTCTGTGATGGCTCCATGGATGTGAAGTTTGGTGGAATATAAAAGTAGACAAACGCCTCATTTTCGTGTGGTACGAAGCAGCTTCCGAGGAACGTGAACCTGAATTTAAAAAAAAACGCGCGGGTAAATCTATTTTAATTAACGACAGAGTTTGGCATCGTATCTTTCACGAACGGACAATGACTGCATGCGTGTCGCACATTAAGGGGTTGTTTGGCAACTTCTGAATAGGTAAGTGCTGAACCAGTAAGAGGTCTGAACCATTAAGTGCTGAACCAGTAAGAGGTCTGAACCATTAAGAGCTAGTATATTGCTTAACTATTCAGAGGCAAATGTCTGATCAATTCAGATCAGAGGTCTTAACCATTCAGACTTTGTATAATACTTAACCATTCAGAGACAAATCTCTTAACCATTCAGACATCTGAACCATTAAGAGGCTGAAACAAACAGTCTGAACCATTAAGTGCTGAACCATTCAGACATCTGAACCATTAAGAGGTTGAAACAAACAGCCCCTAAGACTGTCTATGCATGTTTGTAAAACGTATGGTGTCAAACTTTGTGCGTATTAGTTATAAAAAAACATCTATATATGCAAAATGAAAAAAAAATATCAGGTAGAAAACTTTGCACCTCTTAGTCCTTGAAGAACCATTGAATTTGCATGGTTTTCCCATCTCCTCCAACTAGAGATCTACATTTTTAAAATGAAAACTCTATAGGATCTATCAAGAAAACAACCATTTTTGAGTAATACAATAAAATACATTTCTTATTGTTTTGACTAATTAAGATAAATTAAATGAAATCATTTTTTAACCTTAATCATTTTCTTATATAAGTCAAACCAGACACGGCGGAGGTAGTAAAACAAAACATTAATAAAACACAAATATTTCTCACGTGCACTAAATTTGCCTATTCACCGTATTTAAAACACAAATGAAAGTTTTATACACTCTAATTCAACTCCCTCTTAGGGTGCATGTTAGAATATAAATAACATATTCTGGGTCACAACTACAAGCTTGAGCTTTTAGTTGAATTTGTTTCTTGATATGGTATCAGTCTATCAGAGTCTTATTGACTAATAGGTCACAAGTTCAAAACTCAACGAAATCCAGTTTCTTAAAAAAATTAAGGTTCCACATGCAAGGCTCGAAAAAGATATTGTTAAATATATTCCTACTATATTTAATATTGTAATTATTGTAGTTACCTTAAGTGTATAGATTACCATATATGTTTCCTACTCTAACTAGGAAACCCTCTTGTATATATATACACATGTAATCTCCCCATTATGATTATTGGAATTTAACTATTCTTCATGGTATCAGAGCTCTAATCAATCACAGCTCCCCTCTCCAACCCTAATTCTCTCTCTCTCCTGTTCGGCC